ATACAATGCCTAGGGAAAGTATGTAATAATTCTCATATTTCATAGATTGCCTAAAAACGCCGGGCATTATATACAATGCCTAGGTATTCTATAGAATCAGTAGCGTAGCGTAGTGGGGGCAACAAAATTTCACAATAAATAATAATAATATCTTGTAAGAATTTGAACCATTTTATTTCATATTTTCGTCCATCTGCAACTCAGACCGATTGAAATGAGCACGGAATAGTGTTACCATCCATCCATATAGTCCGGGAATCGACTCACTGTCCGGGGATATTGTACGTAACCTGTTGACCTTTTTCTTTTTGTTTGTATGATTTATTCGTATATATATACCTCCAATATCCAATACAGCTAGGTCACTTGCGTTACTCCTATTCAAGTCTCCCTAGTCACTAGCTGTAACTGATTTAGAACCAGCATGCGCTGCACATTATTCTTCGCATTACAAAATGACATATGCATGCGTCAGGAACTTCTATTCGAACAAACCTCACCCAACATCCGGGTCAGCAATTTTAGTAAGGTGGCAACACTACATGGAATGTTTCATTACTTATTCTGTGAAGAAACTGAATTTTGGTCTTTTAAATTGAGATACCTAAATAAGGGGGGCGAAATTTTCCTCCGCCTGGGCGGCTGACACCCACGCTACGCCACTGTATAGAATCCCAGCTTTTCATACTTTCCAAGTAACATATACATTAACAAGACTTACTGTAATAAAAATCTTTTTATTGATACCTCTAATTTGCCAACCCGATATCTGCCAAAAATTATGAGTGAATAAAGGTGGGTGGATTAGGGAGGGTTGACTGTAACTGTTTTATTAATATCATTTATCAAAACTTTGTGATAACCAAATTAACTCAAAATCTTTTTTGACATATAATCTGTAGAGCTAACTCATTACTCAAAACAAATGCACAATATTTTTAAGAAATTTGATTCAATAGAAAAATAAAAGCAGAAGGACATTTACTAAAGGAATACTAAGAAATTTGTTAAGATTGCATTATAGGCTGTTTTGCATTGCGTTAAACGCGCATTAGCAGCGTACACACCGCGCGTTAGCTCAGCGTTAGATGACCGTTTAGTGGATCATACGCACTGGCTCAGTTTGGAAATGGACATGAAAGTAATTGCTTGTGTGCTCCTCCTCCATCGTCGCTATAAAAGACGATGGTAGAGGCAAAGAGAATTTTGGGTGCACCCAGTGGTGATATTCGCACAGGTTCGCACAGGTTCGCACAGGTTCGGCCGAACCCGTTGTTAACATTTTCAAAGTTTTCAGAACCTTGTTAAACACATGTAACATTTCTCAATGGTTTGATTCTTTTAAAAATATTAAAATATACGTATTATGCTCTGTAACACTACTAAACTAGAGGCTTCCGATGCACCATTTGAGCGAAAAAAAAATTGTTAAGGAAAAATTTTCTGTTAGCGAACCGTTTGTTAAATATTTCGAATGTCATCACTGGGTGCACCCAATATTACGAGATAGACTGACATATGGAAAGTTTGCAACGTTGTATCCAAAACTAAGACAAAATAAACCCAAGTTTTTTAATTCTTTTAAAATATCTATAAAATCATTTGACAGTGGTTGGTCTCTTTTAGATTTCATCAATAAATAGATCAGTATCAAAATGATTGTTCTCCATTTCAGCCAACATACGTCCACTCTACCCAAAAAACGTGATCAAATGTACAGTAACACGGCAGCACATATATCTCAAAGCACTCAGCTGATGCCCGCAAAACACGTGTTTTAAGAAAAATCTATAAACGTGCGTTTGACGTGCGCTTGGCCAAAAGTGCGCGTTTGAGTGTGTATGCCTATGCAGAACTCTTGGTTCTTTAAAACGCGCGTTTAAAAACGCCTAGTGTGTACACAGCCATAATAGAATGTATTCGATAACAGAATAATTATATATAAAGAATTACTATGAAATGATATCATATAAGTATGTAATTATAACAAATGCAGATAAGAAAGCTCACTCAGCAATCCAACTCACATAGACAAATAATAATTTTAATATACAGTAATACCCCAAACTTACGCGATAGGTGGGACCGAGCGGTAACCGCGTAAGTCGGGGTATAATTTCGCATATAAATACATACAAATAATTTTTAATTGGGGCCGGAGACTAAAGAAAACAATAATTTAGAAAAAAATGTTTAATAAAATCTTAGATAATACATATGTATAACAAATTAGGCCTATATTATTTTACAATTTTTCACATTTACTTGATTATTACGCCATAATTTTAACATTGTTTCCATCTCAGCGATAATACTGTGACGTTTACGAATGATGCTTGAATTTAAAGATTGAGCATTTTTCACAGCTTTGAGAATTTTTTCTTTGCCTTTTATAATTGTTCTGACTGACAATTCCGGTAGATCAAACTTCTTTGCCAATTCACAAATTTTCATTTTTGCATCGAAGTCTTTAATAATGGGTACGTTCATAGTCAAACAAGTTAAATGCATTAGTAACAAATCGTTCGAAAAGTCTAACAAAATAGGAATAACGATGACGTCATTCTCGTTTAACTTGTTTGACTTTACAAACATACCCAATGTTAACTTTACATTCCAAAGATAAAGTTTTTCTTTTCTTGTTTGATGCAGAAGAATCAGTTCAACTTCGTTTGGATGACATAGTAGAGTCTCTCAAGTCTCCATAGATATAACAAACACAGAAATAAATAACACAAAATAAATTGTAGCTATGTGTGAATTCCGCACGACACATCTGAACATGTAAGCTGAACAATAGTGTGGGGGGAGTGAGTAATCAAGGGCTGTGTGGCACTCAAACAAAAGACGAATCGACGAGATTTGAAAATCGCATAACTCCGGGTTCGCGTAAGTCAGGGTATTACTGTATCTATTAAATTTAAAAATTAATCTGTAGTTTGTTTCTATTATCTTCTCTAAATAGAATTTAAAATGTTTTAAAAATAGTTATTTATTTATTTCAAAACATAAACAAAACATATTTCAACTAAATAAAGATGAGAAAACCCGCCAAGTGTCTTAATTTATAGCACTTTATTGTGTTAGAAGCATAAACATTTTGTTTAACAAATCTGACATGGATTGATTTAAAAACTTCAGAAAATGAAATAATTTGACATACAGTACTAGCTTATCTCAATAAACCAACAATATCTAACCCAATTAACCAAGGTTTCACATTATCTGAGACAAATTGTGGAAGGATACTTTGTCAGCTTAGAGACAAGAACAAAAGAGTATAATACAGTTCATTTTGCAAATCATAACATCATTCATTCATCATGGTGTTTACAAGTGGTTCTAAAAGTTTTAAAAAACACTTTGTTCTAGTGACTTTAAAAAGTTTATACGACAAAATTTCTTTAGTGACTTCTCACTAAAAAATATTTTAAAAACTTACTGTAATTGTAATTATAGATTCTTTTTTACATTTGTTTTAATAAATGTAATTACAAATAAAACTGAAAGTGTTCTACTATATAATTTCAAAGTCATTATGTTCAGTAAGCAAGCCTAACCTCAAAACAGAGTACATTGTATACGTTAATGCACCTAAATTCGGCTAGTTTGATAATATAAAATGTTTGATAAATTATTAGAGTTTTTGAAAAAATAATATACTATTTATCCACCTTACCTCAAAAAATTGATACTGTACTGTATTAGAATATATTGAATTTAAGTTAGCGTGAAATAACTTTTGTATTTGGATACACTAAATACAATGATAATTTTTTTATTTTTGTCATTTTTTTGATATTCCTTCTTAAGGTCATATCCTAGAAGAGTGTATTTTGATATTTAATACAGTACTTTATATTAACTTACTCTTGATATAAAATAAACAAACATTTTTGGCCTCACTCTGAGGTCTGCTTCAAAAATAAACAAAACCATGATCACTTCAAAATGTTTTTCATTATGTGAATTCTTTCATAATGAATGAATTTTTTTACTTTAATTTCAAAATTATTCATTTTCAAAAGATCTTCAGACAGTTGATATATACTATACCTATTTAATTAACGTTAATCTTAAATACATTATAAAAGATCTAAAATACAGTATTTATATCTAATAAGAAAATTATTTGCTTGATTTTTTTCACATATTTTAGACTATGTGAAAAAACTTTTAACATAATGATAAAATTATTTTAAATAATAAAATACTATAGTTTTCTATGTGCACATAAGTATAACAAATTAAAATTTCCTCTTATTTCACAGAAATTTTATTTAAAAAATATATATATCCAATGTAAATGTAGAAAAATTTTTTTTATAACAACCATTGTAAATATTTTTTAATTAAATATTTAATATAAGATTATGTAAGAAATTTTTAAATTACTGATTATAAAAGCAAATGATGTGTAATGAAGTATATATAAATTAACAATGCTTGTAAATAATTATCCGAATTACTCATTTCTTTTAAAAATAACAAATTTGTCATAAATTTTATGTACAGATATATATATAATATCCTTATAAAGTCACGTAACATATATAAAATTTAGAAATGATTTAAATAAATTACTAAAATGATATCTTAAATTAATAATTCCTTGTTTACAAAGTTAATTCCTTATTTAGAGAAATTAAGTTTATAGAAGTCGAGTCCTTATTAAATCAACTAAATTATATTTTAACATTTTTAATCATTGTGAAGGAAAATTATTACAGGAAAATTTAACTTACCATATTGATAAATTTTTTAACAAGCTACTTCCTTAAAAATTTATAATTAACTACAATTTGGAATTATTAATATCATAACATTATTCAAAATGTAGCATACATGCAATTTCTAAATTTAAAGCTGAATAAACTATCAAATAACATCTGGTTTAGCTTTATAAAAAGAGTAAACATCTCAATGTTATTGAAAACAATCACAAACTTAGCAAAAATATGAACTCAAAACTCTATAAAAACAAGTGATAATTAAGTTACCTGATATTACTTCCTTTTCACATTTACTTCATCCTTTCATTTTAGGTTTCTGATCTAAATATTATTCCATTCTTCTCTACATATTTTAGTTTGTTGTCAGAATGGATGTTTCTGTTTCTCTTTCGTAATGACCTTTGAAACGTAATTGCATGTGATTTTGTTTATTAACCAATGGCACGAAAGAATTTTAAACTTTTACCGACGTCACACTACATGACATTGAATACCTACCAATGATATTACGGTTACTTAAGAATTTCGTCATATGTTTTGATGACGCTAAAAAGCACGTGACGATGACTATACAATATATTTTTTCCGGAAAATTCCTTCTGGAGTTAGTGCTACCATCTGTTGGAATAAATATTAAATAAATACAGTATTTATCAATTTTTAAAAATATTTTATTTTATGGTGTCATTAGAAAAAGAAAAAAAAACATATTATAAGTTTATAATTTATTTTTTAAATAACAGCATACTTTAAAGAAAATTTGATCCCTATAACGATTCATAGACATTGAAGTTAATTTAGAAATACAGTAAGACGCCGCTTAACGCGGGGATATGTTCCTAGACGACAAAGCGCTTAATCCTTTGAGGCTGCCTGACCTTGAGGAACTTCAGAATTTCCTATCGCCCACACACGAAGAAAATCTCTCAGCAGAGGCGTAGCTAGGGTGAGGCAAGTAGGGCACGTGCCCCGGGCGCCACTCGCAGAGGGGCGCCAAATGGTCTCCAAGATAAGATTTGTTTCTGGAGGGGGGCGCCAATATACCGTCGTGCCCCAGGCGCCAGTTATGTTCGCTATACCATTGTTTCTCAGTCAGTTGGCCATGGCACCTGATGACGACATACTGGCTGTTCTTGGATGTTTATTGGCAACAAATTATATTAAAACTCGCGGGAAAAAAGTATGCAGTATGCATAGAAGTCTATGGTGTAAATAGTAGTAGTGGTTTGGGTAGCACTGATCACAAAATTAATTTTTCACACGAATAATTTTAAATGGAATTATTTCAGATCACAAAACTAATTTTTCAAGAAAATCTTGGGCTATAGATTCTGTTAAAAAACATCAATTATCAGCGAAAGATCAATGGCAAGTCGATTTTACTACTAAAAAAAAATTCATGGATTAAATTTTATAGACGAATATATATTAATAATTCTCAACCATATCCGATATTAGTACAAATTGTAAACATTATTATTGCAAATTAATTTTATAATTTAATAATTAAAAAGAATTTATTAAACTTTGTCTTATTTTAAGTTGTCATGTTTTAATTTACTTGGATATTAAAACAACAAATTTTTTAAAATGTAAAAGAAAATGATATAGAGTATCGAGATGTTTTATGATAACGGAAGAAATGAATTGAGAAGTTTTCTAAATATTAAAATTATTTATAATTTTAATTTACTCGAGAAATTTTTGATATGAAAATAATTTATAACCTGAAAAATTAATTTTTAGGTTATAAATAATAAAAGTTAATAAGGTTATAGAAAATAATTCTTCCAAACATTCACGAGACATTGTTCTAACTACTCAGCGGTCTCACAACTGAACGACACGACGGCACGTTAAGGTCACCTGTGGTACACACGTTAAGGTCGGCCTGTGTAGTCTGACACTGTGCAGGAAAATCAAATTGTTTTTCGAATCTACTCCGGTGGTCGGTACAGTTCGCCAAACCTATTAAATTTTCCCCCACACACTATCAGGAATTACTCAAGGTCGGGCATGCATGGTTAATCCTCAGAGGATTAACTTAACGTGTATGTGCCCCTTTATATAAATTAAGTGGTATATTTATTCCTTTCTAATTCTAACCCCAAAATATCATTAAATTCACACCAGATTGCATAAATTCTCATATGTTTTTCAGAGGATTGTGACAAAAGTTTGAAAATCTCTCTCGGATAAAAAATGTTAAGAAATATTGTTTGTAACAGCCTAAGTTTTTCATTATTTTTAAATGTAATCTATACTAATATTATAAAGAGGTAATGTTTATATGTATGTTAGTTTGTATGCAGCAGGTAATCTCCGAAACTACTCATCCGATTTCAAAAATTCTTTCACCAATATTTAGAATGGAACTTCAGGGTGGACATAGGCTGTATATTATTCCGTTAAACATGGGAGATGAACAGTTCTTTACGGCAAGCCTTACGGGGAAGGCTTACCGTAAAGAACTCTTCTTCTATTTATACTATTTTAGATGCGGTTTTTTGCGTTTTTGATTGCGTTTTAATAGAGTACGTCAACAGAATGTATACTAAGAAGAAATTTTTCGATATTTCCCCCAGAGAGACAGGATTAAGGCTTACCGTTAAGAACTTGGCTTCTATTATACTATTTTAGATGCGGGTTTTTGCGTTTTTGATTGCGTTCCAATAGGGCACGTCAAGAGAATGTACACTAAGAAAAAATTTTTCGAAAAATTTTCCCTCACGGGGGAAGTGTTATACATTTATAATAGATACATTTTGAGCCACAACAACGCGTGGCTCAAAATGCTGCTAGTACTATTATACTTGCAATCCTTGTTTTTGTTTTCAATAGTCGTTTCGCTTGTAATATCTTTATGACGTTAATTTTGTTATCAACGCGCGAACCTTCTATTGCAGTCTGTCTCCTGTTCTAGTCTTGACAGACAAAATTATTTGTAGCTTTTTATCTATTAGACAAAAGAAAAATCACGGGAAAATTCCAGACGTATCTAAGCAAGAGGCAGTTTTATTGTAATCGAAAGAATCAAAACTTGAACAGAGAGCCGAAGAGATGTTCGCGTTTGACCACGTAGATTTTATTTCCGGCCTCCGAAATAAACTTAACACTGAACTTTTTCACAGCAGCAACAAGAGTTCAAGTGGGAGAAAAACAGAAAATATATCCTAGTCTTCGACGTAAATAGTATTGAAGGATAATGCCATCGATCTAAGCAGAAAAATTTTACAAACTCGTGGACAAATTTCTTTTATTTTTCATTTCAGTGATATATTAGAACTCAATTTATTAACAAAGAATTGGAAATACTGTAGTGACAAGTTTTTCTGTTACTCCATATGCAAATATTGTCGCATAAGATATTTTCTCACATTAATTTCGCGATCGCGTGTATTTCTTTTATTTTTATACTGTGTAAGGCTTTATTTATACAGTATATCTTTTCTTGTTTGTTACTATATTCGGGTCTAAAATTAAGCATAACCATTATTTTGACTTTATCTCCGGAACAATTGATGACAACAGCGTAAAACTTAACATAACTTTACAAAGTGTGATATTCTTTTTGCGACAAAACAATTGAAAAGCAAAAATTTAATCTTAATTAAATTAAACCATAAACAACATCAAAAAATTACTAAGAATTGTAGCGATACAAACGTATCGCTACAATTCTTAGTAAATTTTTGAGTTGGTTATAACCAAGAGTTGGTTAGAACGTTTGTATCTACTTTGTCGAGGGAATAGCCCGTTATTGAACAAGAGTGTCTCGAAATTCCTGGAGTGTTTTTGGTGGTGGCTGACAGGATGCAACTTGTCATCCTAAAATATCCCCACACGGTCCGGACAAATTATTCGAAAAATTGTACGGTAATTTAGATTTCTTGGTAATAGAAAAGTATATTAACGAGTGTTTTCGATAGCCGAAAGTCTTCAATACAGTGTATTACATTAATGTAGTCTGTACTATCCTATATATTGTATTGTTATGAAATTTTCTGGGCTTTTTTCCTGTAATAATAAGTTCGGCAGTATAACCTACTTAATCAATAAAACTCTATATACAACTGATCGTAATAAATTACTGTGCTGTATACCCACCTACGAAGAAAATACTGCTCCGATTTTAGTACACTCGGACAACTTTCACCTATATTAGTTCAAGTTAGCGGGTTTATTGTATATTCGCTGTCCTGATAAAGTCATTATCGAGTTAGCACTGTGCGCAATATTATCGTCGGTGAAAATGAAATCGATATCCACAGCACCTCGGAAAAGTCTCCACGAGGTTCCAAAACCTCGTCTCTATGCCTTGCGATAATGGCACCCTTTACAAAAATGTGGGGCTCGGTACGACCAATCAGTGTAATGCCACTAGAGTGCTTAAATTATACAGGATGTTATGAAATTAAACCGATAAAATGAAATGAGTGGGACAATGCAATCAATTTTCGTGGCCACAGCCTCTTTATGAGACACAGGCTTCTAAACTTTTGAAGCACTTCTTGTGATACACGAATATACAGAGAAGTCTGACATTACTATTAAATATTCGTTAAAGCTACGCATGTTGTTAAGTCACGTTGTTCTGAATACCGCCGTGAAAACTCTTCGTGCTGGATAAACTGCAGGGGTCAAGCCTTAACCAGTTTGACGAATAGCAAGTAAGAAAGGGGTGTAGTAGCTGTTCGTATAGTACTGTCAGATATTAACATGATTCGTCCCAAAGATGCGGGCGATAGCTCTCGTATTGTAGAGGACTGTTGTTCCATATGTTGGATTACTAGTCCTTCAAAGTCGTCAGTTCTTATCGAGCGTAGTCGTCCGTCCATCTAATGTTAAGAAAAAAATAACTTCATTCTATGTGATTGATTATAGACAAATGGTAATTAATGGGATATTTAGCGTCGGAGTACCGTTCACGGAGATCACGTCTTTGCGTTAATCGTACTTTGCATTTAGCTTTCCCTAAATAAAATGAATATCAGCCAGTTCCTGCGATGAAATTTCTCCATTAAGTCTGATAAACATTCACTTAATCAGTGTAATTAAATGTCATACAGATTTCGCAACTTTTTCATAAGCGGACAAGTATTGTGTCGAGGATTAGAACGCCAACATTTTTAAACGAAGGGAGTTTAGCGTAAAAATACAACTTTTTATTACGAAGTGTACAGTACATTTACTTCCATTTTAACTGACCTTATAAACATACTGCACTTAAATACTTTTTAAACTTTTTTCACTCTGTGCGCACTAAGAGAGCCTTTTTTTTAGTAAGCTCGTTATTGGTTCGGTCAGGCCAATAACGAGGCAGCCGGATGGTGGGGGACTGGACCAGTTGTGTTAGGACGGATCACCTCCGAAAAATTCTTAGGGTATTTCGACCCGTTCAGATTCGATCCCGGGTAACCTAGGGCAGAGACTGCCACCTTAACCGCTCGGTTTCATTTTATTCGTTTAGGGCAACACGGCATGGGCGATATGCCTCCCGGGAGATCTTTTATGGGAAACTGGCCCCTATTTAGGTATTACAAACGTGGAGAAAACCAGAAAAACTCCACGTGACCGGCCAGTTGGCTAGGCGCGAACTAACGACCAACTACCAGTGTTCGGCGATTTTGTCCACTCGGCCACTGGTGGACACCCTTAACTGCTCGGCCATCCGGTCGTTCACTTGAACATATTCTCCTTTTGGATTTTTTGTTTGTTAACTTTATTTGTTTTGTTTGTTATTTTTTGTTTTGTTTACTTTATTTGTTAAAGTATTTTGCCGGAATACACAATTTTTATTGGTAATTGCACTTAAATTTTGACATCAATTAAAAGTGGATTACCAATGAAGAAATAAATAACAAATATACACTGTTATGATTCCAATTCTCACTTTTCTGTGATGCATATCTCTATGATTTACGTGGTAAAGCTGCTACACCAGAAAACAAGGAACGTGACGACGAGGGGTTTACGGCCGGATGGTCGAGCTGTTAGTGTGGCAGTAAAGTTTGATTAGCACTGTTCTTATTCCTCAACGGTATATAAATATCTTATGACTCTTATTTTACCACAAATCAAGAATTAAATTATGACTATCAATGATAAAATTTGAGTCGGAATTTTTATTGAAAGTATTTTATTGGATATCAAGTAAATTAAAAATTTGTATTGTATCCAAAGTCGAGATCTAATTACTGTATAAGGGAAATGAATAGAGCCGTAACTAGGGTATGGCTAATGTGGCCCCCGCCATAGGCGCCGATTTAATAAAGGAGCCAACGAGAAGGTTTCAAAATAATATGTATTCGAAATTAATAACACAAAAAAACTTTTAAATACTATATAAATATAAATGTCATTAAATAGTTTTTTTACAATAGCATTTTTTTAGAATAAAATTATGTTTTTAATAATAAAAATTAAAAAGGGCGCCATTTTTTCTTGGCCATAGGCGTCCAAAATCCTAGTTACGGCTCTGGAAATGGGTATATTGAAAATTATGAGATTCGGTTTTTTCGGGAAAATGTTTTGTTAATGCTAATAACGCGATAAGATTATCATCAGAGAACTTAACAAGTGCAGATTGCCAATCAATGCATTTAAATCAAGCTCCAGAAAACAGATTATGAATGGAACGTTTTCCATTGCAAAGTTTTCAAAATTTTCTTTTTTCTGTGTCTCGTGGTTTTCTAACTGATCCATCAAATGAAGTATTGAATATGGTAAAATATTCTGTAAAGCCTTTCAGTTAATAATACTTAATCAAAACACAAGAAAAAAGTTGATACCGGTATTATTATTATATAGAGTTACATCTGAATTATTTTCTGAAAAAATATGTATGTTAACTTAATAATACATATTACAGTGAGTCCCATAAATATAGGTCCACCTAGTAAAATTAGATTAAAAAAAAAATTATTAAAAAAGAAATGTAGTAGTACATAATTGTTAAAATACGTATAACACAACAATTTCATTCCAACAAATATTTATTATTTAAAATTTAATAAATAATTTATACAGCAAATTTTTCGATTTTTTAGTGTCCTAAAAATATAAGTCCATTTTGAAAAAAGTAACAAAACATGAATAAAAAATTTCTTAATGCCCAATGTGACATCCTTGAGCCGAAATTAAATTAAATACTGTACATGATTAGACATTGATTTCATTAAAGTTAGCAAGTGTTTTTCTTCCATTTAACTACCGTTGCATTCTTCAGTTCCTATATTGTGGAGTATTGCTTGCCTCCTGCATATACAGCTCTAGCAAGCATTTCCCACAGGTTCTTAATCTGACTCAGGACATCGGTAATTTTTAGCTTGGTCTTTTTCTTGAGAAATTAAAACATTTAAAAGTTATGAAACAAATTGATTAATGAAAATTAGCTTGAGTATATTTCGTATCAAAATGTACTGTACATAAACTAGCGATAAACAGTAGATTATCAGTCCCAAATACTGTACTACAAGCAGCGACTTTCTAGCCAACTTTACCAGGCAAACGTAGTCGCAAAGCGGGTTTCACTTTTAGATGTGTAGCACTAACTCTGGAGCTCAATGATATTTAAAATCATTGCTAAATACATAAATATTTTTTAATATTTTCGGCAATTTTTATTTCATTTTATTTACTTTTTACACGGACCCATTATTAGCAATTGTTGAAATTTAGTCGACGATAAAGCATAGCAATTATAGTATAAATGTGACGTGTCGAGAAGGACTTCGAAGGGGAGAGCTAGAGTTTTTTCGCGATCCGGAGGGAATTTACGAGATGGAAGCGATTCCTATAAATTAATGTTATTTTTCTAACAAAAAATAAAATCTTTAAGACTAATTTTTATTAATAGAGACACATTCTACCTGTTTAATCTGTTCAAAAAGAATGGCAAAAGAGACTCGCTAAGGGGCAAAAGTGGCCCGCTCTACCCCTAACAGGATAAGAGGATCCCACGTAAGATCTCCGGGACCTATGTGTCGATAGTCAAACAAACATGATTATTTAAACATGTACCGCACACTTATAAGCAAATATTTTCGGTATATTAACTTAAGTACGAAATTATATATTTTCAGAAAATTTTATAAATTTAATTTGTATTTCTCTCCCTGTGATAAGTATAGTAAACCATTTAAAACAACGCTAGAGAAATTTTTCTTTATTTAAAAAAAATCAATGTGATACCCGAAACCGTAAACTTTGAATCTATTTACTTTAATTAATCTTTTATAATTTACCCAAGTGACTAAAACAATTTCTTAAAAATATGAAAAGTATCAATTGATATAATGGAAATATTTTTTTTGTCAGACAAAAAAATTATAACTAAAAGTTCTTTTTTAATAAATTTTTTTATCGATATCGAAAAGATTATTAATGATAAAATGCATTTTAAATCGCATCTTTTTCGTATAAATCAAGACAATCGATTATTGTAAAAATGAATAAGACATTGACACGCCAGTAACGACCAATAGGAAAGGAGTTAGTAAACACGCCCATTCATAACCCGGCCATTAAATACATCGGCATCTTATACTTAAGCACGCTGTCTATAATGACGTCACGAGATTCAAATTTAAATTTCTCGGCCTAGTAAGTTCTTTAATACGAATTATGCCCCGAAAAAAGCGCGCCGCTAGCAGTCGCGGTGCTTACGAACGCGATCGTAAGCGAAAAAAAGCATCGGTGGAGAATGAACACGAGGAAGAAAGAGAGGATCGGCTATCGTTCGTGTCCAGTGCGGCCGGGCACCCCGGGGACGATGAGATTGAAACCCCTCATCCAAAAAATACTACCGATAAATATAAAATGAGAAACACTTTCAGTAAGTTAATGCATTTTTTCCTTCATCTACTTTGAGTTAAACTAAAATTAAAATATTTTCTATATAAAATTTAATTGGATTACATTGCAACCGGCGTATCGTAATTCGCATTTCTGTATCAGAATGGGTTCGTTTCACTCCGTTAAATATCATTTAAAAAGAATTCTTTCGGAAGCTGATTGAAATTGTGGCGCTGCAATCGGCATAATTTAACATTTAGCAAAAAATTAATATAAAAATATACGAGCATATATTTCTCAATTAGAAATAATAATAATAATAATAATTTCAGAATAAGTGCACGGAATCGCATAAACGGAAAAAAAAAGTTTATTTTCTTAGGAAAAGCAATCATTTCTAACCTATGGCACTATTAAATGCTTTTAGCAGCTGCTTTTTTTTTTAATCAAAAAAATTTTTTTATAACTTCAAAAATATTAATATACATCGTTACTGATACTTAATTATTTAATAACAACTTCATAAAATAGATTTTGAACTATATAATAATAATAAATACAAGAATTTAAAAAAAAGAAACTAGAAACATCATAATTTTGTTTGATGAACTTGTAATAAACTGTTATTTTGAATAAATTGTGAAAAAAATCAATCTGCTTAGTTTTATTAAATCAGGGTAGCATTACACAGTTTTATAAGGGTGAAAAATATATTACTACATTAAGCATTCATATATACTTGATGTATAATTTGAATGAAACAAACTAAGATTTTGAACAACATATAATTTCTCATATACAAGTGAAGATGTTAAATATTATTTAAAATTATTTATATCTAATATTTTGCATAATAATAATAATAATGGAAATTTTATTTATTTATATTTATGTAATTTAACAATAATAGAATCATTTATCCCAATATATATGGTATATATCTCTCTTAGATTTATTTGGAAAATTTTCATTCACATTTAACTAATTTAGAAATTTCAAAAAAATTTCTTACTTTTCGGTCTGAAATAGACAAAAGTAAATTTTTAAATTTCTTTCTGGATATTTCAATTGATATACATAAGTTATGCTAATCTTGAAAACATTTGAACTAATAAAAGCCTAATAAATCTGACAGACTAAATTAGTTTAATCATTTTGCTAGAATTTGTTCCATAATGACCTGTTAATTTTGTAATATTTTGTGTTACAATACTTTTTACATTAATATGCAATATTCATTTCTATCTCTTATTTGCCCGATTAGATTAAGTCTTTATCTTCATTTTTTACTCCAAGAATAAATATTAATAAAATAATAATATTATAAAGTTTAATTATCTTTAAAGTAATTATTTTACTTTTTTTAAATGAGAGTGAATTTCCTACTTGACTGTTAACAGAAATTTTTTCATTCTCAATTATAATGTATTACATTATTGTAATATACAGATCTTAAAACTTAATGAAAACAAAATTAAATTTAAATATTGTTCTAATGAAATTTCTTCCAATTTAAAAAAAAAATTAAATAATCCAGTGATAACATTTATATAAAATGAATATCATATATTATTTACCACCCTTGCTAAAAAAGCATGGAATCCTGCTAACATTCAAAAGAGAAAAAAGCTGAGATAGAATTCTTCATATACAACTTACTGCAGACAAAGTATAGAATGCCCTTAAAAGTATGGCAAAAGTATGGAAACACATTGTGAGTGATGCATATGATTGGAAACATACTGCACTATCTTTGGCATCAAGTATTACCTAATATGTTTTGGCATTGAACACTGTTGGAACACAACTGTGGATGTTTCTGCCCACCTCTGGCATATGGCACATTTCAGTTCCAACACTTTGGACCGATTTCTTTCAATGATACCTACTACACTATAAAAAAAAAAAAAAACACCACTTATTGGATTGGAATGATATAGTAAATATTTCACTCTAAATACTGGAAAATAATTTAAAGCTTTAGTGTGAAGTATTCTTTGAAAGATGATGAATATTCTCAACTGGATTTAAATCTGGACTATTGAAGCCATTCTAATCATGTAATTCTCTTTTCTTTAAACTGTTCTTCATATTTCACTTTTCATGTATGGTTACAGGCAGCATTGTTATCTTGATACATAAAATCATCATCTCAAAAATGATCCTGTGCCATTTCTTAACACAAAGTTGTCCAAGATGTATCAACAACATATATTACCATATATCATCATAACATAATATCAGCATCAACAGTATAGTAATAATTGTCATTTTGCCTGCTCCTGTGCTGTTAAGGCATCCCAGACCATAACTCCAATAGGAAATTTAGCTGTGGGATAGAGACATAACAGTAAAAACTTTTCTTGAAACTGTCATCACTATGTTCAAGACAGATGGATGATTCATCAGTGATCATCATCTTCTTCCATTGCATTTGCATCTAGGTTTTATGAGTTTTTAGCTCAATGTAGATGCTGTTTCCTATAACGCACACTCAGAAATAGTTTCTTCTTTACTTTATATAATGCATATCCACTAGTGTTGCAACGAATAGTATATTTGGCCTCAGGCCGAATGCCAAATAGCCGAATATTCGGCTTGATTAACGCACATACGAAAATTGGCGTGCAAACCACATTATGGCAAGGACCCTGGCTCTCCATTGGCCCACTGTCACTATGCTTCGCCAATCCCGTTAATTCTTGACAGTTGTAGTGGACAGACAAGAGTGTCATGGCAGTATGTAATAAATGATGATATCAAATGTGAATAACAATGAAATGACCTACACATGTAAATAATGGAAAAAGAACAGAGAAGGACCGTGAAGTGAAAATGTGAAAATAAATATGAAATTGAGTTGATAACATAATTGAACAAGTCGAAGCAGCTTATTGGCGCGAAATTTGCAGCTGTCAATGCCAAACAATTGTTGTCATAGACTTCGGAAAGCTAAATGCTTGTAATGAAAGTCACTTAGTGTGCACGGGCGAAAGCCTGGGACCATTCGGGCTATCAAGCTGTCTCGAATCTGTGAAATCATAACTGTGACATATACTGACGTCCTGTCTGTCTCTTTTCTCTGTTATCACCAGGCTATGAGTTACGTAATTATAAAATGGGAAACTACGACAGAAAACTAACAAATTGAAAGTATTATGAGCGCGTATTATGATGTATGCATAGGCATACATGGACTAGAGAGATAGAAGAAAGAGAAAGGAAAGAGCAAAGACGAGCACTTAAAAAGGATAGGCAGGGTCAGACCCTCAGATGTGTGCAATGATTCTCGAACGAATAGGTGTGTACATGTGCTGATATTTGTAATTATAAATTGTAAATACATGTGACTAATATTATTTTTTTTTTTATTTTGTGCATGTTATAAGTTATAAATAAATATAAACAAACAACACTAATCCGATAACATTAAATCTAAATACCAAAATGATTAATTTACTGTGTTTTTGTTATTTCTTACTCCTGTTTTTAGGTATTTGGTATTCGGCTGAATAGTGATTAGATATTCAGTATTCAGCCAAATAGCGAAAAATAGGCTGAATACCAAATAGTAACCGAATATTCGTTACATCACTAATATCCACATCTGTTCCATTGCCTTCATTGAGCAGTTTTCTTAGAAGCATGTATAACTTGTTATTTCCATTCAGATTCACTTCAACATTTAAAACATGCTTGCCACACTGGATGAGATTCTTGTCTTCTCTTGTTGTGGTTTTTCAAGGACATTCACTTTTATAGTAGTTATGGAACTATCCAAGCTACTGTAAAAGTTCCTTATGTTTTGTATTTGGAAATCAGCTTTGACAGAATTGTTTGATTGCATTTTATGTATTTAGTAATTTGCTTCTTTGTCTGACCTTGCTAGTGTAAGACAATTATTACTTGTCATTGCACATGATCCAATTCTCAGTTTTTAACTATCTTCAGCCTCTATACACATACTATGATGCTACTGCACACATTATCAAGTAGCTGTACTCAACTGACTAGCATTATTTTAATACCAAAAATGAATTTACATATAGGTTGTGCACATTATTCCATATTTTTGGCCCTGTTATCCTGGGCCATATCTTTCTACATCTTTCTTTTTATGCACTAGATTTTATCACTTATTATAGATGATAATTGGAAGTTTCATGTTTGGCTACAGGAAAACACTTTCAATAGCAAAGGTTATGCTTCATAGTGCCAAAATCACCAAAATCACAATATTTTTATTAAAGTAATGATAAAAATATAATACTGGCAATAGAAAGAGATGATAAAAACCATAATCTGCTTACTTTGACATTCAGCATGAAATTGAATTACAAAGCACACTTCAGGAAAAACAGCAAAATGTCTAGCTCTTGTGTGATGGGAATCCCATGCATCACACACCTAGCAATTTCATTATGTCATGCATCAAGTGCGGGCAGAAAAGTAGGAAGTGACATTGAGAACAGAAGACAGTTTTTGTGCAATGTCACCCAGCATTTTCAGATTGAGGATTTTTTTTATCAGCTGACAGAAACTTTGGGGAATTTTTTGGGTTTACTTTTTTCACAGATCTTTTTCAGTAGACTAAGACAGAAATTTTGATATGACAGAACATGTGAAATACTGTTTAAACATTGTGATCAAATGTGTTATTGAAAATTATACATCAAAAAATTGTTCAAAAATAATTCTATTGGTAACAAGTGACAGCTTAACATATTATTTTTCCTTTCCAGACACCAAACTGATAAGGCTACCAGCACCTGTATTAATTAGTAAATAAAACTGGGAGCAATAAATAATTTGAAGTGACGAAAAAAATTTAACACTGTCAAAATGATTGGCGATATTTTTAAATTTTCCAGAGAAAGTTTTACAGTAGGACAACTCCAAGTTGTTTGTTTTTTTTTTTTAAATTGTTTGCATATTAAAATTTCCTCTTAAACACTCAATAGAAATTTACAGATGTTCTTACATGGGTCATTAAGTCATGATAACATTTTTCTGTGGAATCCCATGCCACAATCCACATTT